TCCTACAGCAGTCTGGATCCCTGCGTGGATTGCGTGCAAAACTGGCATTTCGGGAGGGGTAGGCAGGCCCCTGAGAGCAGAGCAGAAGTGACAGTCCTGCAGGTCACCGTAGTGCCCTCTGCTCCACTGCGAGCATAAATAGCTAACTTAAAGGTTTACTTCTGTGTATTTGGAGGTCCTGGCAAATATGTGTTTATAACTGTGTACATAAAAGAAGTAGTTGTATGCTTACTTTGTGTAGTACTTTAGAAAGCAATTCGGCACATCGATGCATTGCTGCTTTTTTTTTTTTTCTTTCCCTTTTATTGTTTTAGTCACCAGTGATTGCTGAGCGGTTTCTTCTAGTAATGTTCTATGCCTATCTTTTAAAACAAGAGGTCTGTTTTCAATATTTTCAGATTGTTCTTTGGCTGTTAATCTTTGCATTTTTACTCTCTCTATATATTATTAGTCAGTTTTCTGGCTTCAAATTTTTTTAATCTTTCTTTAAAATTGAGAGGAATGCTCTGAAGTGCTTTTTCTCCGTGACTTCTGGGAACTCCATTAAAGTTCTTCAGTGGTGAGTTAGGTTTAACTTAGGACAGAAATACACCCATCTACTGCAAGTGTCACCCTAAAACTCTTGAACCGCTTTTGTTTAAGCTGAAAGCAAACAAACCCTTGCCTCTGGTCTGAAACAAAGTGTAGTGAGCTTCAAACTCAAAGTAAATAACTTTGCAAAGTTATAAACAGTTAAAAAAATGAATGTCTTGAATTCTTCTGTAGTGCCACAGTGCTCTGAATGGTGCTTAAAACAGCAGTAGTTTTTAATAGCATTTTTAGTTGGGTGTTTTGGCTGAAAGAAAACTGAGCGTATGATCTTTCTCTTTGAGACCGTAATGGCAGTGGGCTAACAGCTGTGAGTGCTCTGGTGGTTAGCGTACAAGTTCTGGGTTTGATTCTTGTCCAGTGTACATACTCCAGGGTCTGTGTTTGCATGTCTTACACCAGGTTTGTAGAATTTTTTAATATGCTAGGGAGATGAGCTACAAGTTTGGTGGGATATTGGTGGTTAGAGTGGTTAAGAACGAGGAACCAGGAGGAATACAACCAACAAAAACTTTTGCTGGAGGAGAAAAATCCAGCCGTCTAGAGCTAGGACAGGATCAGGCAGATTTTAAGAAAGAAGAGAACTGAAAACCTCCTGCTGTTGTGTGTCAGGGTTAAATGTTCCTCTTCCAGATGTACATCATCAATTTGCCGAAGTGGAACCCTAGCAATAATGCATGCATAGTATATTAAAAATTGCCAGTGTACAGCTGATCTGAATCCTTTGACACAAACCAGACTTCAAGGCCTGTGGCGGAACTGGTGGTTATCGTCGGCACGTAGCACTTAGCACACACAAACTGCTGCACAAATGTGTAGCTAAACATCATGAGACCTTTACATGGAAAGAAAAAACGTCCCTTTGGGGAAACTTTAGATAGCATTAGTGTCGAAGCTAGGCCAGTGGTCAGTAAATTTGACCACTGTGGTCTGTAAAATTAAAGGCACTGTTTCCTAATCTCCTGTTTTATAGGTGCTAGTTACTGATTTCATTAATCTGTCTTCTTGTGTGCTCCCACCATATTTTGCGAACACTGAAAATGCTCTTGTGTAATTTTTTTTTTTTTTACTTTTTAACTTTTAATCATTTAGTCTCCCCTCTTTTTAACAGCTTTCACCTAGATGACAGTTTTCCAGCTTTGTTGCATCTTGTTTAACCGTGTGCTGATTTGGGACAATCAGACAGACTGGAGACACAAAACTTTTGAGTACAGTAGAGCATCTCTTTCTGCACTTGTTTTCCACAACTAAACGTGGTCACTTACATTTGTGGCAGAAGGTTGTTTGTGTGACAGATCAGACATCTCTCTTAAAAAACATTAAGGGAAGACAAGAAGTAGTTTTTTCTCCAGATCAATCTCACTGCTATTGGCAGGAGTCAGATTTCTCTCAGGGTAGTTAATGTTCCTTGAGAAGTTATTTGCCAGTTCCCTTAAAAAATGTCCCAAGATTGCTCCAAGGATTGAAATCTTCCATCTGCTACTGTGCTTCTTTGCAATCAGGCTTTTTTACAGCTGATGAGTGGGAAAGTAAGTCACTGTATTTGGCCAGATGTGATCTTCTGCTGTCATACCTACACACTTGCAAATTCTGCTTTTTTTTTTTCCTTTTAATGCCCTATAACCTGTCTTCTGCTGTTGCTCTTACCTCTCAAGTAACTTACTCATCTGTATTCATCTTTCCTCCTTTATCTTTGCTGACTGTTTTTCCTTCTTTCACATACAGTTATTTTAAGCTGTGTTCCCACCTCTGTGTCCAAGCCTTCCTGCTTCTCCTATCATCATAGATTCTTTGCACAGATCTTGGCCATCTGTTCCTTTCCCTTTGCGTCCTTGTCCTATGTTTGTCTTTTTTTTTTCAATATCTTGCCTCCTTCTGCTATTCCTTTCCTTATCCTTGTCTTTTATTTTTTGTCATGGGAATACCTACTGTGACTTCTAAATAATACACAAAGAGCCGTGGTTTTATTTTATCTTGTAAGTTCTTGACTGTGAAGACAGAAATAAATAAAGAAGCACAAACACATAATTAAAATCTGTGAGACAAGAAAGCAAAATCTTGAATAAAATTGTATAAAAATCAGAATTGCTTTGAGACAATCTTCTAACCCTGTGGCATAGCAACATTGCATGTTATGTAGGTCAGAATCTTAGAAACTTCTGTAGTTTGCAGTGTTTGTCATTACTGCCTCTTTGTGATAAAATGCTGTGCAATATAGAGGACCAAGAAAATAACAAGATGCCGTACTGCGAAACACACTTCCAAGCTGTAAACCAGATTTTGTTGCAATTCCCTGAGAGCTCCTTCTGTGCTTTCATTTTGGAGGATGCAAAAACATTCCTAATGAACTTCATGAATAGGAAAAAAACCAGAAAATGCAATGCCTTTGTGGCCTCTTGCAGAAAGTATCAGCTTATTCTTTGCACTTGCAGTATGTGGGCGTTCCTTAGCTTCTCTGCTGCTTCTGTGAGTTTTGTTCCAGAAAAATTGTTTGTTCAGAGATACAGAATGATGCAAGCTCTGGTGTTCGTCTTCCCTGGGCTCCATGAACTGCAAACTGCGCCTAAGCACTTGTTCTCTTCTGAACTACATATTTCTGTTTAGCATGGCGGAATGTGGGGCCTAACACACTTATATTTTTAAGGATTTTGTGGAAAACACAGAGAGAGTACTGTTTAGCTATCCACCAAAACTAAGATATTGGTGTACTTTAAGCCACATACTGAAAACCACACTGCCTCTGTGGTTACTTGCACTGAGTAAACAGCTGGACATTTTTTTCCCCCAAATTATATATGTATTACCACTGGTGTAATTTCTATATCAATTGAAGGAAAACTTAAGCATTCTTTTTGAAAGGAGACCTGCTTGTCTGCGTGCATGCTTGCACATGAACATATACTTAGCCAGAAAGAATAATTTATTTTTAAAAATTGAGCTAGGAACTTCTAAACCCGGTGAGCTGCACTTGGGCTAGGTCCTAATCTATGCAGACCACCAGTATGGAGTTTCTTTTTACCATTACAGCTGTTCTCTAGGACTTGGCAGTAAGCTCTGGTTGATATTTATCATGCATTTATGTTTAATATGTATTTCTGAAAATATGGACTGAACATGAGTTTTAATAGAAATTGAGAAGTGATGACAGCTCCAAAACAGTTCTGTTTGCATTTTATGAATGGGGTCTTGGTGTTTCAGTGGCACAAGAATGTAAATGATTTCATTAAAAAGGCTAGAGATTTCAACAAATGTCTAGGAATGCTTTTCCACTAAGTGAGGAAGGGAATGTAGAAGTGGAGGCTTCTTATGAGAGTTTTTGGGGGTAGGCAGAATGAAACTTGGGCTTTGACAGCCACCTTCATCGTCTTCACGATAGTCTGATGTACTAGTTTTCTACCTGACTGGTGTTCAGAGCATCTTAAAGCTAGACCAAAGAGTGAGCACTCACAAAGCATACTATTGCTTCTTCTTTTTTTTTCTTTTGTGTTGGTTTCAAAGATAGTAACTAGTTTCCAACTGTATTTCATAAGAATTCTTTTGTGTTCCCATTCATCTCATGTAATATTTCAGGATGTTTTTGCTAATACTGAGTACTGTGTCCCTGAGAAGCGAGTTTTACATCCTATTCAGCTTAAGAGTTTCCAAAGTCTCCCTTGAAAATTTCCAACTAAACTGGAAGGGCCTGTTTCAAGGTTAATGGAGAGAGATCTCTCTCTGTGAATGATTTCTCCCAGAGAAACAGGAAAACGGAGGGAGTATTCACACCAGCCTTGTGAGATGGGACTTCTGTGAAATTCCTCTGCCTCAGGCCTGAAGGAAGGGAACTCTCAAGTCCAGCAGTGTGAGCACAGCACAGAAGGAGGCCATGGCTTTATGTGCCTTTGAGCTACAGAGGCTTCTGTTGGCCAGCGTGGGAAGGGATTGGGGCCATGCCAATGGCATGCCAGACTTTGGCAGGACTGGTAGCAGCAGCTGAGCAGGTGGATCTGATACAGCTTCCATTGAATAAGGAGAGCTGGAAAAGGACCAAAGGAAATCACCTGATCCAAAGCCTCCATGTCACGGTGTCCTTTGCACAGATACGCCAGATTATGGCAAGAAATAGGATTTTGGTCCCATGCTGAACATGCAGTACATAACAGCATTACGTGACATGGGAGTGAACGTTTTTCAGACTTTAAATTCCTTCCTTTAAATTGCAATTCTTTGCTGTGGCACAGAGCCTCAGACTTATATGTGGATGCTTTTGTATTTATTTTGTGTTTATTACATAAGTTATATATAAATTTATATACTTAAAAATGTATATCCACCTGCTTAGTTAAGTGTATTTCTGCGTATACACGTTTTAGAGATATATTTAATATATGTTACTGAAATAGATTGATTTTATTCTTTGTTTTCTTTATCAGTTTGCTGAAAGCAATCAGAAGAAAGAGGCTTTACAAAAAAGCATTGACAAATCAAAAATTGGACGCGAAGATACTGTAAGTTGCTTGTAGGGGGGAGGCAGTCCTACCAGAAAATAGGACATGGTTTCCAAATACTAATGTAGTTGTTGAAATTCATTAAGAATTCTATATACTGGAGATGAGAAGAGGACAGAAAAAAAATCACGTTAGATTATTCCTTAGTTGATTATGTATTAATGAGTAAAATATTGACAGCTGGCTACTCCAAGGCTGAGAAAATGTGTGACCATATGAAGTCTAGTAATATTCCAGGCTTTTTCAGGTTTAAAGATATTTTAAAACCTGAACTACCCAGAGGTATGTGCCAAAGTTGCCAGTGGTTGTTGAACTACCAAATCAAGCACACTTAAGTGTTGGGAGTCTTATTTTAAAAAAAATTGTATTTATAATCCAGATTTCTAAATTACTATTCTAAGCAGCCATGTAAGCTTGGTGCTTTATACATGCTGATGCTGTTAACACTGCAAAATAATATTTAGGCTTCTTATTTACTGTACATATAAAGTAGCATGTTAGTTGGAAATATTTCATGTGGTATTCCAAGTTGCTGATTTGTTTTGAGATGCTTAGTCTAAAGTAGATTAAACTTCCAATACATAAATGCATAAACAGGAACGGCTAGAAACTTTCAGGTGGAATTTCTTAGGAAAGTGCCAAATCTTAGAATCCAAAATGTCTTATAGAACGCTCTGGGTTTGGCTTTAATTAAGGAATCACAGACAGGTTTGTTGTGCAGTTATGCTTGTCACGTTTCCAAATGGACTGTTCCAGACTTGTCCTTCTTCAGCATGTGGCCCGCCTTAGTCACAAGAAGCTATTGGTCCTGGAAATCCTGTTCTGGCTGACACATCCCACATTTTGGTTCTGGATTATACGTCAGGAAGAAGTCCTGAGAAATCTAGATCACGATATAGGTCTCTGAGCAGCTGGCCTCCACACCCCAACATCTGGAAGTTTTTGATTTCCAGTCTGCTTTTTCAGAATGTGCTGAATGCAGACTGTTGGCAAAAGCACAGGAAATATAGAAATTTGAAAAAACAAAAACAAACCACCGCAACTAAAACAAACACCTGGGACTGCTGGGCTGCCATGGAAATTGCCATTACAAACTTTTACAAACTCATGTGATCTGGCTTTTTTAGGCTACCTAGAGTCCTAGCTTGAGTTCTTGAATATCAGTTACAGTGTTTGCCTGTAGCTCCAGACTGAATTAGAAATATGTGCTGAGTTGGCTATGGGAGAGCTCCCGTTGGGTCAGTGTCTGCAGATCCTCACTGATCAATAGAGTATTTGAGGTCGACATTGTATGCTCTTCCAGCAAAGACTTCCGTGTCATGAATATCTGAATTTATTTTTGAGACCACTGCTCTTAAATGGTATGGAAAAAAGAAAGGGAAAAATAAATTCAGATGATATGCATGCACGGAATCTTGATTTGTATAACTATGAATGGTAGGTTTTTGTGTAACGCTGTCTTTAATTACAATGCTAGCGCTCCTAAATATCATTTAACCTTTAAGCCCAGCAATTAAGAGATCTACTTGGAGTTTGTCAAACCATGTGTTGTTCAAAGGCTGTAGAAAATTGTTCTTTTGTTTATCCATTTCAGCCTTAATTTTTTTTCTTGGGGTTTGTACTGTATTATTTAGTGTCATTGAAATACATACGTAGAATGTTCAGCTTGTTCATTGACAGAAAGCAGTAATGAAAACATCTTTTAAATTTACATATTTTTATTTTTTAAAAAGCATTCTGTGCAATTAATGTTGATTTTTATTTTTGTAATTTTTTTATATCTCTCAACATACTTTGAATCCTCAGGCAGAACGTGCAGCTCTAATAGAGGAACTGGCTACCCTTCGGCAGAAAAAGGAACAGCTAAAGGCAGAAATAGACAAATACAGAGAATGTGATCCAGACGTCATTGAAGAAATGCGTAAGTTGTATATTGTTTCAAGTGAACTTTTGCATGAAAAGGTCTGCGCTTCTTTAACTTAAAATCTGACATGCAGAGATAAGCCAAAGAGCTGCTTTTGTTTTTAAAGCTGTAAGCAATACAATACAGGTACACTGACCGTTTCTTTTCACGTTCAATTGTATTATATAAAAGGCTTCTTGTTGATCTTTACTTTGCCAGCAACTTAGCAGTTAGCAAACAATCCTAAAACTGAAATACTCCAAAGCGCTAGAATTAGTATCAGGACCATTCTTTCTAGAACCACGTTAGTTCTGTAATTTTTAAGTGTGCTGAACCCTAGAATGTGCGTAGGAAGAGTAGTCTCTAGCTCCCATTTAAATTCAATTATATGCTGGCAAAACAGGTATCTTTCTACTTAGTCTTGTCTATTTAGAATATAAGCATTTCATTAGAGATACTTAATTGTCACTTATGTGTAAGTACAGTATTACTCTGACTTACAGTTTGTACGGTCTTTGACATGCTGGGGTTTGGTGGGAGTTTCTAATTCTACTGGAATATGAGGAATGATGGGTGACTTTAATACTTAATACAGAGTTGGGCACTGAAGTGTACTTAATATTCTGATCCTTAGCATGAAAAATGAAAAGCATGCATGAAATTTTATTGAATTTTCTCTACTTCAACTTTCATGTTTTATTCATTAGGCTCTTACGTTGCTACCCAAACACCACTGCATATTCAGTTGCTGTAATGCCAAAATGCCATTACATAGCAATGAGAAACAGGCACAGACCTTTTCCTGGGAAGATATCTGACCGAATCTTTCTCTTTCCTTATTCTTCTAACAAAGTTCACAGCTTTAGAACCGTGCTGAGAGAAAGCTAGGAACATAAACAGGCTTGGCAGCACGCCCCAAAATGGGACAGATACTATTTATTTTGAGAGGCTGTGACATTTTTTTGTCAGCTGCATTATCTTTCCCTGAGGACATAATGGTATGCCAGGGAATGAGCAAACTCGAGACCTGAGGTTAGTTCCTGCGCTGTAAATCCCCTCGCTGTGTGCACTCCTGAGGACAAGTAACAGACGCGTTCCAGCTGATTCCAGCTGCAAAAATGGATGAGGTTAGGCAAATTCCGACAGCAGAGGTATTTTAACTGCTAAGATACCCTTATAGAAAGCATTGCTCTGAAGAGATCCGACGAGACGCTCTTTTGAAGCAGTCCCAGTGAGCGCGTTCCTAAACGCCAGGCACAAGGGGGCAAATCACAGCCTGAATGCTAGGGCAGACTGCATGAGCTGGGAACACAGAAACTAATATCCCAAAAAGGGTGAAAGGGAAAAAAATTTAATCGTTAGTTCAGTCATGCTTTCTTTTGTTTGTTTGCGGTATTTTTTGTTGCGTTTTGTTTGTTTGGTTGTTGTTATTCTTTCTTTTCTTTTTTTAAGATGTGTGGCAATTCATGTGAGCTTCTGACATGAAGGGATGAGCATTTGAGGGCGTTGGTGAGGTTAGCCTCCTTGGCCTATCAGAGCAATATGCAGGTGTACAGTAGTGTTTCAAAAACTATTTGGCCCTGACCTTCGATTAAAAAGTTTCTGCTTTGTTGTAAGTTTCATCAGTCATTGTTGCACTGGCAGTGCACATTGTTGCTAGCAGTGTATAAATGAATAAATGGCAATGTCAATTTTGGGGACTTAATCAGAGTTGAATGGAATTTTACAAGCTTTAAGGGAGAGAGTGAGATTTAAAAAAAAAAAAAGAGATTGGGGGACATTTCTCTCATTCCAGAGTGCAGGGAAGTGCAAAGGCAAAAATGAGATGCAGGAAGTTACTGGTTTTAGTGTAAGGAGGCAGTAAGAAACTCAGGCAATGGAACATGTTCACTTAAACATTAAAGTAACTGCTATTGTTTTGTAGAATAACCTTACAATCAGAGTTGCTGGTTCACAGAAACTACATGAGTGATACAATTTTCTACTAACTGTACAATTTAGACAACATAATCCTTGTGATTATTTTCAGTTAGATAATCTGAGCAGACTACTATCTCTAAATTATCTTATTTTGATTTTGAGTCAGAAATCAGAGAGGGCTCTGACTTTATATAATTGCACTCTTTTCAAGAGGTGGATTGTTCAGTATAGTATGTTTTGTAATGGACTGTTGCCACTCTCTGCATTTGGGTCTTCCCTCTTCTTCCTTAATGACTTGAACCTGTAAGAAAATCTTTGTGATGCTGAGTATATAATTTCAGTCTATTAATTTCCCATCCTATATCATAGAGCTCTCTTGACTCTTTTTGTAGTATTTTAAGGGTGTATCAAATTGTCATCTGATTTCAGTGGCCTTCAAATTTGGTGAATGCTTTGCTTTTTAATTGCTCTTTCCGTGAAAGGAGTATTGCAGAAGCAAACCTATTGTACAGTGATGCGCCTCATTAAAACGCACACACACACACACGCGCGCTAATTCCAGGGTCAAAACAAAGTTTGGATGATTCATAGCAAATATCTGAAGACTCAATTAAAAGCTGGACATCTGTCTTGCTTCCTGAGCCCTGTGGTGGGAAAGTAATGTTTAACCATGTAACTAAATATACTATAATGCATATTCACAAGGGGGCAAATCAGAATACTAAAATACTGACTGTTTTTGCTGACTTCGCTGCTTGTCCTTTTAATGTTAGTAACAAATGTTTTGCTGCATGTATTGGCTTAATTTCCCCCAGCTTTTGTATTAGAGAGCTGAAGTATAAATTCAAATGCTTTCCCAAGTCTACAGCATTTGAACACAGAATTTCAGTATTTGTATGTAACAATTAACTACAATAAATAGTAGAAGAAACAAGATTTAGGGACTGACCACTAGAGGAAGCTACATAATAGTCTGCTTTTGTGGATAATTCAGTTTTGCAGATAGAGTATTATGAAAATATATCTAGGATGGCAAAATGCATGGATTTCTTCTAAGGCCCACTGCAGTTCAGTGGTTGAAGCTTGTCTTTGCCACTTAAACAACAATGTTGTTTAAGCCATCTTGTGTGAGTTACGGTTGAGTAATAAATTCTTCTTCAACACTAAAGGCAGTAAAACTGACAACAGTCATCAGAAGTAAAAAAAAAAAACAAAAAGAAGAGAGAGAGAAGGAAAAAAATCCTACTGGGATTTTATACTTCTCTGTTAAAGTTGTAATCCTGCCTCAGCTGGTGTGGGACTGAGCCCTTGTTTCCCAGCCTTGAAGCAGATTTTTGTAGACTGGAGGATGTTCTCGTGGGGAGCAGCCGTTGTAGAGAAGAAGTTGACTGTTCACCAGGAGAAGGGCTTATGTGACATAACATGTAGGTACGCAAAATTGGATACGCGTGATGCTGCTAGATTCCTTAAAGATTATGACAGAGGACAAAGGCATAGGGAAGTGCAAGCTTTCAGTAGTTCACAATTTATCCAGATTTTAATAAGACCAAAAAAATCCCCACAAAAAACCCCACATAACATCAAAATTAACCTGTTGCATAAATTTAATTCTTTCTGCCTGTCAGAGAGAGATGTTAGGGAGCTAATAAAGTTTTTCTAACAATTATTTTTACGGAAAGGTTCGGCAGGCAGCCTAAGCATATAAATGGTACGGATTTTGCTCTGAGCCTGCCAGCTTGGAACTGGAAACAGCTACACATTTTCAGTGTTCACTGTAAAATAATGTTTTATAGAATTTCGGACTTCTTGTTCTTCCACTGTAATTAGGGGAATGTTGATTTAGACTAAATGAAGACATTTGTGCATCTTAGCTATTTTTTTCCCCCCATAACCATGCTTTGGTTACTTTGTGCCTTTGCATAGGACAGTAGTCTTGAAAATCGTTACATAATGACTGAAGTGACTTCCTTGTGGTATGATTGCTAGTATTTCTGGGGTTGGTCTTAGATGTTGCCTGCCAGCATTCCTGTCTTAGGTAATGTGGTTTTAGAATGTCCGATTACTGATAATTTTTAGGTCTTAGGCTTTTACCTTCAGAACAGTGATCTGAACATGCCTAGACAAACTGTGTTCTCGAAAAATTAGCAAAATGCCAGATGGAGCACATGTGATGTATCAATTTTGGTGTCAACCCTTTTACACAGCAATTTTGGTGTCAACCCGTTTACTTGTTCTCTCTTTGTTTATTTTTATCCTGTAGCAAGAGGCCTCAGTGGTTCAAATGGACAGAATTTCAAACTACAAATATCCAAATAGTTAACCTTTTGCATCTCCAGAAGCGTGAACGTAGAGGTGTTACTATCAGTCCAGTTCAGGGTTAGATTATTTTCTAAAACTAATAGTTACAAGACTGTGTGAAAATAATTTTTGGTAAAACACCAAAGACTTTAATGAATACCATGAAAATACCATGCTATATCTAGTACGTACTCTTTCATTGTAGATGCTTCAGAAATTCCTAATTCTGTTGTGTCCAAATAGTGAAAATTTCAACTTGACAAACTGTTCTGAAGAACTTCAGGGAGTATACAGGCAACATGAGAAAATGGTTCTGGTTTTACCAGTTTTTTCATTCATCTTCATATCTTGAGGCTGAATGCTGAAAAGGCAGTGTTGATTTAGCTGCTGAATTTTGTGGGATGCATGGTTTGCGTTTTGTTGGGGATTTTTCGGTTGTTGTTGATAAACCCAGCAATTCTATTCTTCCTGTTATGTTCAAATCAACTTGAAAATGTGTTATGCGTAGAGATGTATGTACTGTTGCAAAAACGTAATATCAATGCTAGATTCTTTTGGGCATTTCTTGCTAGTGGTGGGAATAGTCCCTGTTTCCAGAGTGAAAAAAAGAAAACAAAGATTAGTCTGTCCATGCTAACAGAGAGGCTTTAAAATGAGTTTCATCAGTTATAATCAAAATTCATCGTAACACTGATAATTTACAAAATGGTTTAATGGATTTTCTTTTGTATTTTGTGGCAAATACTGTTGTTCAGAAAACGTATCAGAAAGGTTATTTAATCTAAAGAGCCTCGTCAATG